ATTTTACGGCATTTTTAACTGAAATCACATATTCAAACAAAATTATCCATAGAATAAAGGACACTTCAAGAAGCAATACAATACTTAACAAAACCCACCTCACAATATAAATTAGTACACAAAATAAATTTAAACTTTTGTATTTTTACATTATTTTAAATTAATTTTATATACAGTAACCCGGATATAAGAGACCCGGATATAAGAGAGATTTTCTCTGGTCCCAAATTAGAGCCTGTGTTAATGTATATAAAATAGACCAAACCGGATATAAGAGAAACCCGGATATAAGATTCTTCTTCTCCGGTTCCGACAACTCTCTTATATCCGGGTTACCACTGTATATATATATATATATATATATATATATATATATTGTTCAATTTATAAGTTAACTGTTTAAATGTGTCAATATCTGCTAACTCACTCATGTCTTCTCTCCCCCCCTCACTTCCTCACTTCGTTAATTTACATATGTTTAATACGGCCCGTCAAAAATGTGTAAATTTTCTTTTCAATTTTTGTTTGGAAGTAAAGTCTAATGATCCGCAGTCCTTTTAAAAGGGCTGTGGTGAAATAATTTATTACATGGAACCTTAAAGTGGTCTGTTTTTATTTAAATTATTTGCTCTGGAATTACATTGAGCTCTCTGGATTTTATCCTCCTTAGGTTTACCCATACGGATATACATAGTTTTTCATAAACTAACTATATATATATATATATATATATATATATATATATATATATATATATATATATATATATATATATATATTGTTCAATTTTCCATTATTTATGAACCCATATTTTTATTTATTATAATATTTCTAGAATATTCACGCCGGTAGACAAAACTAAATAAATATAGTGTTTAATAAATAAATGAAACGTCTACTCAAATACGAGGAGCCATTAAAATGACGTTTAAAGTGATAAAATCTGTCGGATCAAGAAATAATAAAATCCATTGCTTCTTTAAAAACAAAAGGGAAGAGTGTTCCATATCGGAGGTATACGGTTTGTAGCTGTAGTAGTAAAGGAAAGCAAGAAGAAAGGACTAAACATCAATTACAAGAACACAGAATGCATAGTTGTTAGCAAAAAGAAGAGCTAGGATAATATAATAAACTTGAATTGTCTGACCTTGCTACCCATAATGCACCAATGACCACAATATATAAATAGTCAAGCTACAACTCAGTGTCAAGTCTTGTATATACACATGCTCTATTCCTGACATCGAGCACTTTTACCCATAAATATAGCATAACGCTAAAACTATATATATATATATATATATATATATAGATAGATATATATATATAGAGAGAGAGAGAGAGAGAGAGCTGAGAAAAATAACAGCACTCGTGGCCTGACGTTTGCCTCTAGCATGAAACAGACTGTCGCCTCTAAGTTTTGACTTCTATGTTAACTTTTATATTTACATCTTACATTTTATATCTCTGATATTGAGCACATTATCCCATAAATATAGCACATCTTAAGACTATATTTCTTCATATATATATATATATATATATATATATATATATATATATATATATATATATATAGGACAACGATATATAAATTTTTATATATCAAAAAACTTTTGCGGGAAAGATTAATGACAAGGTGGAAAAAGTGGTCTGATGAAGTCCTAAAGGACGAAACGTGTTGTATAGACCCCTCGTTCTGGGGGTCTCTTAGTTGATGGGGTCAATTCCACAACAAAGCCGCATTCTTCTCTCTCAGCCGTCTTCTCCTGGCATTTTAACTTACTACATTATTAAACACGCCGACGTGTACATTTTTAACAAGCGAGTGGGGTCGCTCTATCACCCCCACTGGGGAGAAAGTTCCACTAGACCCGAAATAAACACGTCTATTGTGTATGACGTGTAAAACTTAACTCACAGGAATCACTTTCTATCTCCCTAACATTTCGGCTCATCCAATCAAAATCAACATCCTTATTTTATCTACCATCTGAACTTAAAGGTCATATTCGAAAGGTCTGAGCCAAAATACCCTACCACTAAAAAATAAGTCTGAAATTATTATTTAACATTCCTTACCTAACAATAAAAAAATTCATTTATGAATTTTATTTCAAGTACATTATATTTAACAAACGGTTCACGCAAAACCTTTTTTCCAATTTGTCATCTATATAGCCGTAGAAAATTAATCGATCAATCAATCAATATAATGAAAATGGTAATGTTCATATTACATTCTATGCACAGCATTCTATTGCCATTCTTATGTTAATGATAATATTATCCATGTCCTTATAAGGAAACATTCGACATTAATTGACCGAGCAGTCAGTGCTGTTGTTGGTTAAAATTTATAAAATCATTTTCTTAAAACATTTTTCCAAGAAATAAGCTTCGAAAATCCAGTCGCTGTTATCGTTCTTTCCAGTATTGATCGGGGTTTCCTTCCTTGCCTTTTGTTTGGGAGTGTGTGGAATGTCCGCATATTGATTATGTCATTATTCTCTCTTCGAGATACACGTGCTACCCAATTTAGTTGTTGCTGTTGTTAAAAATCGTCAAGTGATGGGATATCTGTTCTATGGTAAAGTTCATTATTTGCGTTTGTGGTTCAAAGAAGGATGATATAAGTTACAGGGTTCATTTGCTGAACCCATTTTTAGTCATTGATCTTAGAAAGCGGTTGTATACAGTTGACGGCTTATATATTTCTGAACAGGTTTGGCCACATGAATAACAGTCTTATGGAAGTCGCCATCTTGGTGATGCTAGTGAAGAAACTCCTTGGGTGGTGTTTTGGTTTTGTAGGAACTTAGTGTTGAATTCTCCCTAGAGTAGCTTTATTCTATGTTCAATTTCCTTATCATTTATGGTTTGGTTTGGTTTATTTTGTTTTACGGTATATCAACCTCGATGGATTATTTAATGCCGACATGTTGTTTTGTCAAAATATCTATTTCTGGTAATATTTTTTTCCTTCAAAAATGTATGGCTAGTAATAGTATTTTTACAAAAAAGTATTGTTGGTAATATTTTTTTAACTCAAAAATGTATAGCTGGTAATATTTTTTTACTCAAAAATATATAACTGGTAATATTTTTCTTTTCAAAAATGTATTGTTGGTAATATTTTTTTCAAAAAAGTTATAGCTGGTAATTATTTGAAGTCTTTAGTATTTATTAATTCAACAGCCTGAATACTTATAATGGATTCAGTATTTATATTAAAACTAATTACTATTTATTTCACTATTTACATTATTCGGACTAGTGTCCTCATCTTTGTCGCCATATTTATTACAACGTTTCGGCCGTTGTACGCTCTGGCATTCTTCAGGTGATTGGAATGTCGAAATGAACCCTTTATTTCCACGTGCTATGTTTAATGGATGTCAGTTATCAGTTATTTCCTGTTAATTCTCCTCTCAAAGTTCTCCATTGCCTTAACCGGATATTGAACTCACACTCTTTGGGTCCTGTCACTGGATCTAACCAACGGCTTTATCCACTGTGCCATGTGACCTTGAGGACATCTGTGTGTGAATTTCTATAAACCTAATGTCTTCAGCAACCATTTGTTACTAGTGCTCATATTGCAATTTTTGCTGTTAATATACGTTTTTTATCAGAGCTCATATTGCAATTTTTGTTGTTATTATCGCTTTTCTTTGGTACTCCTTAATACTGGTTCTCATATTGTATTCATTTCTATGCTTGATCGGCTCAGGAGATTTTTGTGGCCTAGCATATGTGCTGAATCCTTAAGCTTATGAATTTTCCAATGGTGTTTCTTGTCAATGATCTCCCTTTTTCTCTACATATGTGGTCAGCCAAGCCTGATTTTTCCACTTCCCCTCGTGTTAAAGCTTTCTGGTGTTCTTGAAGCCTTAACTTAAGGGGGCGGCCTGTCTCCCCTTTATATTTCTTACCACAGTTCGACATTCCAACCACCTAAAGAAGGCCGGAGCGTCCAACGGCTGAAACGTTGTAATAAATACGGAGACAAAGATGAGGACAATAGTCCGAATAATGTAAATAATGTACATAATACCTACTCTCAGAAATATAGACGGATTCAGTGTAGCTGCATGGACTGCTTTCATTCCAATTCCGGATCATAGTTTCTGTTTTAGAAACGTTTATCTTAAGTCCTATTTCTTAGAAATTTTCGGAAAGGATGTTGATTTTTCTTCAACATCATTCTTATCCCAACAATAAAAACATACGCTATCATCATATCCTTTCCATATATCCTCATCAGTTCCATGGCCACTGGAGGGAAAACATAAACGTTTGTTTTTTGTTTTTTTTTGTGGGGGGGTTGTTTTTTTTTTTTTTTGTGGGGGGTTTGTTTTTTGTTTTTTCGGGGTTTTTTTGTTTGCTTTTTTTCTATTAGAAGGTTCGTTTAGGGCGTGGTATGAAATGTTTAAATGATCAGTGTCCATCTTTTCACATCTGTGCTTGTATACGCCTTGGAAGAGATTAAATAGATTGAGGGGGTCTCATTTACGCCTTGTCGTAATCCGAATGAAGCTTGAAATATAATTTTAAAACTCCATTTCCTACATCCATTTGTATTTGTTTCGCATGAATGAAAAGAAAAAAAAACGCGCCCACAAAAATAAACATATTCTTTGCAGCACTTTGTATCCCTTCACTAACATATCTCGATTTGCGAATTTCATTCCTGGGAGGCTCAACCAAAAAACATAACACCCTGAACAATGTCCATTCATTTGACTGATTGATTGATTTGTTATTTTTACGGCTTATCAAACATTTACAGGTTATGTAAAGCGAGAAAATATGTAAGAATAATGATTTATTGATACAAGTCTTAATAATTAACCTATAGCTGAGAGGAGAGAAGAGGTGGATTCATGCCTCCTCCAAATGTATTTGGGTGTATATGAATATAACGGACTCGACTGGAATTGGAACTCTCCGACTTCCAATTCCACTCAGTTATCCAGTATACCACCTACACATCCTAGCTTACAGTACCTGATATTCCCAAGCGGTCACCCATCTCGATATTATCCATACTTGACATTGCTTAACTTTGGTGGTCGCACGAGAACCGGTGTTTCAATGCGATATGACCGTAAGCCCCATTCTTATCTCTATCTATAAAAGGCAGGATGTGTGTGTGTGTGTGTGTGTGTGTGTGTGTGTGTGTGTGTGTGTGTGTGTGTGTGTGTGTGTGTGTAACGAATGCACGGCTGCAATTTTCGACAGATTTGCACCCAAATTTACATGCACGTGCCCCAAGTTAGCGGGAAGGCCAAGACCGACATTGCATTTCCCAATTCCCATCGATAGTGGAAATAATCGATTTTTTATGCTTCTACGGCACTTTTCATGTAGTTTGCGGCCATTTTCTACTGGCCAGAGTGAGAGCCTATAGCTGGTTGCCACGAATAGGCAGGAAGATTCTATTGGCCAGCAAGAGAGCCAACAGCTAACTGACACGGATATTAACTAGCATGCTAACATGCAAATAAAATCGATAGCTGCATTCGTCACAAGTGGGAAAAATTTAAATCTGCATGGCACTTTACTCCAATTGTCTCATTCACTTGCTTAAACTCAACGTTGATTCTGATTCCGCAGAACTGGATTGGATGTGAAAAAGTATTTGTTGTTAACATTCTTTTTTTCATTCGGTTTTTCCAGTTACGAGTCCTTTTTTAAAGCTGATGGTTTTGTGTTCATTTTGTTTAGTTCTTTTTTCGTAACAGATTTAATGTTTAGTATAGAGCTTAGAAAAAATTCGCATTATGAGATAGGCAAGAAGTAAGGCATGTAGCAACATCAGCATGGCAAAGGGCACTCCTTTAAAGGCAAGGAAGGGCAAAGATATTTTAAGTCAAGTGATAGCGATTGCTGTATGAGTCGTACCGAAGTTTCCTTCCAAAACTAAATTATTTTCCCTTTGACTTTTTTTAATCAAGCACGGGTCATGCTGCTAGTACCTACTAAATTAACAATGAATCTTAAAAGCTTTCAGCAAATTCTTGACGCCTTCTCTTGGACTCCTAATGTCAGCAACTATATTTTCTCCTTATAAGATGAAGAAGTGAACTCTTCAAGAAAAGAGTGAGAGTGTGCATAAAACAAAACAAAAAATATTGCTATAATAGATGATAATGATAACGCCTACCATAGCGCGTCTGCTGAAATGTTATGGTCATTAATTTTCATCTTGCCAAGCTCCCTTGTCGCTTCTTTACTGATTCTTCCTGAGGCAAAGACAAATTATACTCGGTCACTTGGTAATATGTTTTGACATCAACCAGGTGAGGCAGAAGCCGAAGACCGTGGGCACCCGGCAACCAATGCCCAGCGTTATCCCATTATCCAAGGGTCGGGGAGAAGATTGGCGCTTGACAACATGTCGGAAAGATATTGTTGACGAAGCTGTGCGGAATCAAAAGAAATCTGGATAGCATAGAAGTATGAAATGGCATAAAATGTGGAGGCATCGTCTGGATAATGCAGCAGTGCATACGTAGACAGCTACGGAAAAATCAATCTTAGTCGAAGTTGGTAAGTAAGAGCTGACAGCGTATGCATAAATAATATTTTTATGTTTATCTATCTGATATAATATAGTATTGATAGTAGGCAAAGACAGGAAAATTGCAATAACTCCTACAGGAAGTAATGAAAGAAATCAAGAATAAAGGACTAAGCATCAATTTCAAGAAAGCATAAGGGACAGCCCATCATGCAAATTACAAATTGGAGATACTAAAATAAAACAAATACAAAAATTTAAATATCTAGGAAGTGTTTTAACAGATCACGGAAAGAGCAATACGAAATTACCGAAGTTGCATTGGAATAGCCAAAGTTGCATTTCAGAAATTAATCATGTTAAATATTAGTTTATGTTGTGGAGTGACTTCGCAGTGGAGGATTGTATGTGTACTAAATCGGTCCTAAAATAGGTTCGACGTACAAAACGTTAGGAACTTGATATAATAGTTATTACGCAGAGTAATCTTGTTGTGGTCGCTGATACTTTCGTATTCGACTAACTGTCGTCCGACATCGACCGACCGTCGTTTCTATTACTAATCCTACTTATATTAGGTGGATCTGACCTGGAACTTCTGCTATAGATTTTAAAATTCTAAAGAAAATCTAAGAAAGAATCTCCAATATTATCAGCCCTTACCTGGCATCTCGGCTTCAGTAACGTAGCTTCTCTGTGCCTTTTCTATAAATATTTTCACGGGAATTATTCTGATAAGCTTTATTCGTTGGTACCTCGAATTTAATCGAAATACTAGATTGGCCGCTAGGTCCCGTAATTTCGCTAAATTGCTGATTATCTTCTATACTAATAATTTTTTTTTCTCTGGCACTTCTCGCTTGTGGAAATCTCTTCCGGTTTCCTGTCTTTCCTGTCAACTACGATCTTCAAAAATTTAAATGAAACGTCAATGTTCATATTCTGTTTCCTTAAATGCCGTTCTTTCATTGCCCTCACTCCTCTTCCACTTTCAGTAACCCCTTGCATCTTACTGCTTTTAATGTTTGGCTTGGAATGGAATGATTTTTAAAAATACAATCACTATTTCTCGCTGCACGTTTTACTTTGGGGTTTTCTTCACTATGGACCACAGTTCCAAAAAGGTTATCCTGTTTCTATACTTTTGGGGGGGGGATATTTACTTCCTACGTCTTCCTATTTAGACCAAAAGAGAAAATTAGTTCAATGAGAAACCTTTGAAACGTTTTCTGGGTTTGTATTTCCATCGTTTAACATTTTTAAGTTCCTAGTCAAAGAATCAAACCCCATGTCTTGTCTCATACCTTGACCAGCGTAGTGGAATGTCTTCTCTTCATACTGTGATCTCTTTCATTGAAATTTATATCTCGCATTTTTCTGAGACAGCATTTATCAAGTACTTGTAGATAACATATATACTCGCGTATCGTGCGATTTTTGAAGACTCAAATTTGAAGCTAGTTTAAAGGGGTCGTATCATACACGAGATATAAAATTAGCTTATATACTGCTGACCCTGGCGACGCCGTTGGCCAAACAATATATTCATTTACTATAGTCAAAATTATAGTTGTCTTTAAAATAAACATGATTTTGATAAAACTGACGTTTTTGTATACAGTAATAATGCATGTAATATTCATATATATTAAAGGGTGTATCATTAAGACGGATTATATGCAAGGGTGTTTCATTAAGACGGATCAAAGTCAGCAGTAAATAAATCAGTGTTATTGGTGAAAATTTATTTATTTCTCTATTGGATCATGTTATTTAAATCATGGCAATTATGTGTGAAAAATGATATCGCCCAAATTTCCGCCAAATCTGCAAGTAAAAGAAAAAATCTTTACACGGTTAAACTTAATTTACATTTAAAATCGGTCCAAGTTATTGGAACACACTTTAGTATCGAATTATAAAATACAAGCCTAGCGAATGTGCATCGTTTCCATTGCTTATGTTTATAAGAGGTTTAGCTGTTTTCTCGTTCGGTTGTTTATGGCTGTACGAGTGTATATAGCGTTACTAACGATACTTTTATCATTCTCTTTTACTTATTTAACTAGAAAATAGGATAAAGAGGTTAGTCTGTTGTAATTTGGTCTCTCAAAAAAGGAACTCGAATGATACACGAGATACATGATAAAATCATTTTTTATAAGTGAACATTTGATGGTATCATGATACGCTAGATTTCGCATAAACGAGTTTATAGGTTACATAGAAGGAGCACCGGATCATATGTGGCAGCAATAGTCCAAGCATAGACAAATGGTAGACTTTATACATGTACACGATAGTTACTAGAGAGAAAAAACTGTCTAACACGACACAATGAACAAACTTTGTTAGCAGCTGAGCTAGCAATGGATTCAATATAGTCTTTCCACTTCGTGTCAACCGAGTCACTCTCTTGGAGGTTAATATCAGACATGCTGATGGAAGGAAGAAAGAGGTTTATCAGATGATTAATAGAGACCAATTTGTTTTCGAGGCTTTAAAGTTAACAACAGACTGGAGGTCACCTCAATGCAATGGTGACCTTATCGAACTAATGAAACGTATTATCGAGACAGGAGTAAATGGTTGTGTCATCAGATCAAATTGAGAGGAAATGCCATCGAGAAGGTCGTTAATGAAAATTCAAAACGAAATAAGACGGAGAATCGAACCCTGGTGGTGGGGGCGGTATCTGTGTTAATACAAAAGAATCTAGAGGAGTGGCCATTCAAGATAACATTCATTTCACGATTTGATAAGGAAGACTGGAACAGGTCAAAAATGTGTCCGGAGATACCATAAGTTATTAACTTTTGAAGAAAACCAGTAAGACAAACCCTGTCAAACTGTCAAAGTGTTATGGGATCTTACCCATAATAATAATAATGGACTATTCCATACTTAATAAATACTGCGCCTCAGGAGTAGGCAAGAAGTCAGTCAATGTCGTTCACCTTTGAACTGACTGCTTGGTTTGAACTCTCTTCCTACGGGCGGAGAGGAACCCGAAGGAGGCTACGCCGAAGGGCGTAGTCTCCTTCGGGGAGGTAAAATCCCAGAACCCGTTTATACGGGTTCAAATGGACATGACGACACCCCTCGCTGATTTTTAGTTCACTTTTGCCGAGCCTAATGGCGGAGTCTCCTTCGGGGAGGTAAACTCGAATTTATACGGGTTCAAATGGGCTATTTTTTAGCACGGCTCGGGAATAAAAAAAATATTGGCCTTGTGCCACATGACACCCTCGTGGGGGTGACTGAATATTGTCCCATCACTAGTTCACTTTTGAACCGACTGCTTGGTTTGAACTCTCTTCCTACGGGCGGGAGGAACCCGAAGGAGGCTACGCCGAAGGGCGGAGTCTCCTTCGGGGAGGTAAAACCGGCCCTGAACCCGTTTATACGGGTTCAAATGGGCTATTTTTTGGCCGAGCCTAATGGCTCGGGAATGCCCACGTTAAAAAGGCCTTGTGCCACATGACACCCTCGTGGGGGGGGTGACTGAATATTGTCAGTCACTAGTTCACTTTTGAACCGACTGCTTGGTTTGAACTCTCTTCCTACGGGCGGGAGGAACCCGAAGGA